TAAGGTGAAAAAAGAGCATCTTCCCTGAAGGTTCTCTTAACGTTGTATTATTCTTAAAGATGTTTGCTACTAATAAAGGTAGTCATTCTCCTCGTTGTTCTAGAGGAACAGGGTATCCTTTACAGTCGAGATCACTAACGTAATTGTCAAAAGCCTTAAGAACTACACTGGCTTCTTAGTGCTTGTTCTAATTCGAAGCACTGCTTTTCTTCACACTTTCTGATCATTACCAGTAATGTATAAATTGCTTGACAGGCGTTTTGACGAGTGGGTTCCAAACTGCTATACCCTCTGTGACAACTCCATTCTGGTGATTAAGGACAAAAAAAGATCAGGCTAAAACTCCTTGCAATCTGAAGACTTAAAGGATAGACTCTAAGTAGAAGTTACTCTTTCCTTTGGTCTAACAATGCCCATGACAAAGAGCATTTAACTTTTATCCATCAGTTTTCCTCTGATGAACACTTTAAGGAGATGAAACTATTTAGCAATCCAGAAAGGTGAGCACTGTACAGCAGTCATTAAGCAGGATAATATATACATAATTGAATAAAGGACCAGTTTGAGGACAGACAGGGAAGTATAGGTTGGGATAACAACTGCTCAAGTTTTTAATTTTTAGAGCACTTCAACAAACAATAAAAGCCTTGAATAAATAGTTTCATAAGCTAATTTAAATAAAATGCAGTATCTAAGCAGTTACCCACAGTCTGTAACAGTCCAAAGTAATACTGACACAATAATTTACAAAGACCATTTTCACTATCGCTGTTTTAATGTCACTATTCAACCCATTCTACTTCTGACAACATTCTTTACATCATGTTTTCAACAGTTGGTAATCAATGTATATATTCAATCCACATATATATAAAATTACATTTTTTCATTGAAATATTTTTTCTCAGCACAGTTAAAAGAGAGACTTAATTACATCCATGTTTCCTAAAGCAAAGGCATATAGACACTGTGGGTGGTTCTTGAAACCCTTCCCTCCCTCTTCTTGTGGTGGTCCCTAAGTATCTGGCAGCAAGAACAGCTCACATATATGGCTACAAATGCACAGTCTGAAAATCATATATTCTCTGTGTTCCCACGGCACAAAGCTCAGTTATGGATGTCACTATAGACAAGCAATCACAATTACCATGAAGCTTCCAGTTGAATGAAATGTCATTGGAAAAGAGAAAAACACACGAAACAGGAAAAAGTTCAACAGATGAAGAAAAACAGAAAGACAGAGAAGCTCATATTGATTGTGTTACACTGACAAAAAGATGCAGCTAATGTCACCAATGCATTAATTCACTAAAGATGGAGGATAAAAAATAGTCTTGGAAAAATATCTAAATTACTTTTTGAAAACAAGAGTGAAAAAGGTTGAGAACAACTTGCTTCACCAATATCTATTATGTTTTTAAGCATGTATTTGATGAGATACGACTTTTTTCCCCCCTTTGTTCAGAAATATTAAGTAGATGTAAACTTTGATAGCACTGGAAAAAGTCTGAAAATCCAGATGTGGGAAAGA